GGTCAATATCCTGTGAAGACATGTAAGCATATCCTCTTCCTGACATTATGAAAACATCAAGACCTTTTCAAACACCAGTGAGAAGGTCACAGAGGCTTAGGTGTAACTCTGTGGCTTGGCCTGGGGGTGATAAGGAATGCCCATTGTGGGAGATAGGAAAACTTGAGCACCAGTACTTCAAAGCTCTTGAAGTATATGTCAGGCCTTTGTCCAATTATGAGCTCTAGGCATCCTAAAATTGAAAAGCAGTGGAATGAATATTGTATTACTTCTTATTTCATAGTCATAAATCATAAGGACATAAGCCTCATGGGTGAGTTTCCATAGGGAGAGAATTTGTAATTGTTGGACAGACATGAGAAGGTGCCAGTATACCCTGTAGACCTATCTGCCAATCTATAGACTCATAAGTTTTATAGTTTGATATAAATATAATATCAGCTGTGCAATAAATGTACTGCAATATATATGTACATATATATTCATATATATATTATTGGGCTGGGAGATTGTGAGGAAACTATAATTGCCAGTCAGTTCTGATTGTTACTCTGTACATATAATGAGGAATTCTGCCTAACAAAATGAGTTCTGGCAAAAACAGAACCTGTACCTCCTGCTCTGTATGTCAGCTTTGGCCTCCATCATGGAAGGGTTAGAAGGCAAGCCAAAAGTGGAATGCTGATAATCTTTATGGTGAGGAGGAAGATGCCACATGACCATCCCCTTCCTCCCTCCTCCGTCTCTCTCACACACAGAATAAATAATTTAAAATTTATTTGAAAATTCAGAAAAGAAGGTGAATAAGCAATCGAAAAAGGCATTCAGCCCTGGCCTCCACATGTGCCTGCATAGATGAGTGCATGTGCACACACAGGTAGGCATGCATGTACCACATGCACACACCCACAGATGGGCTGAGGGTGCATCTCAGTGGTAGCTGACTAGCACATATGAGACCCTAGGTTCAAACCTCCAAGCCCCCAAGCCAATAAAGACCCCAGGTAGCAATGGGGGGGGGGGAGAGAGGAACAGCAAGAGGCAGCTGTGGCCCCTCAGCTCCCATCTTGCTCTGGGCATCTCTTCTGGCTCCTGTGGCCAGAGCTGGTGTGACTTTCCCCTGTGAGTGAGCCCTGCTGACTTAGGACAGGAGTTCCTGCCCAACACCTTCGGAGCCGCCATTCCATGCTGACTTCATCCGCTAGCACCGGCCTCGGCCTCAGCATCAGCACTGCCCACACGGCCACTGCTGCCGTTATGACCAGAACCAGCAGCCTGCTTCTGACCCCTTAGCTCTCAGACACCCTGAACTCCAGCTCCCAGAGGTTTAAGGGGTGCTGGGAGGCAGGGCTTATGTGGGACCTCCAAGTATGCCACTTGGAGGTAGAACAGCAGTTCTCCAGGACTTGTCCCCAAGGGGAAGCCAACAACGCCAGGACACACTTGGTGACAGCTGGGGGCTACAGTGGCACTTAGTGGGCAGATGGGGTCCTGCTAGCGCCCGCAGTGAACAGGACCATGCCCGGGACAAAGAATTATTTCCTTCCAAATGTCACTAGTGCCAAGCTTGAGGAACCAACCCCCAGGCCCCCGGCCCCTCATTCAAGTCTTCACCCCCAGATACCCGTATCATGCCCTGGGTCCCAGAGCTGTAATCTCTGCAGCTCCATTGTTCGGCCACTTTGTCCCTTCTTATCACTTTTACCTCCTGGCCTTTCCCGCTTGAATTAAAAAGTCAATAAGATGAAAAGTGCCACGGTCATGCTCCAGAAGGAAAAATACACAGGAACAGTTGATACACGGAGTCCAAGGGACAGCTTAGCTCGGGGGCCATGCTTGCCCGGGCTGGGAGGCAGGGGCTGGGCGGCAGGGGCTGGGCTAGCTCCTGGGTGTATAAAAGGCAGCAGCAGTGCTCAGGGATTCACTCCACCACAGCGGTTGAGCTCGAAGTGGTTTATCCTGTGAAACCAGCTTCGAACCGGCATCATGAAGTGGATGGTCGTAGCCTTGCTCTGCCTCCCGCTCTTGGAGGCAGCTTTGCTGAGGTAAGACCGGAGCTGGACTGTAGGTTCAGGGAGCCTGAAGTGGGAGCCAGGAGCCTGGTGCCTGTGGAGGCCCGAAGAGGGTGTCAGATCCCCTGGGACTGGAGCTACAACTGGTTGGGTGCTAAGACTTGAACCCTGCTCCTCTGGAAAAAGGAAACAGTGCTCTTATCCGCTGAGCCACATTTTCAGCCCCTTACTGGGTGTTCATAGTAACCTAGAGATAACTTAAAGTGGTGGGAAGAGTCACCCAGGTTATAAATAATACCCATAGACTTGAGTGTCTGTAGATTTGGTAACTCATACTTCCTTTTTGTAAACTATGACTCAGTTTATTTTGTGTATGGGAGAGGAGTGTGAGTGTACCTGAGCCACTGAATACATGGAGAGGTAAGAGGAGATTGCACGAGTCAGATCTCTTCTACCACGTGGGCTCTAGGAACCAGGCTCAGGTCGGCAGGCTTGCCAGCAAGTGCCTTTACCTGCTGAGCATCTCACCAGGCCTGCTACCTGGTAGTTCCTTGGGTGAAAAGCCGGCTCCTCCCAGACACTCCTGTTCTGCAAACTCAATAGAGGTGGTTGGTGTGGCTCTTAGGAAGAGGGTTGGCAGAGAAAGTCCTAAGAGAAGGAGGATTTAAGGTGGAGAAAGAGGTAAAAGAAAAGGCATTCTGGGTAGCGGTCGATCTGCAGAGGCCCCTGGGAAATGGCAGCCAGCAGCTCTTAGATCACCCTTCGGTGACAGAAGCCATGACTCCTAAGTTCTAACTCTGGAACTTCCAAGCCACTTTCCCCATGGACTCTCAGGGAGGCACAGTGGCGTCCCTGGGCGGTGAGTAGGGGGGGTTAGTGCTGTTCCCTCCCTCCCTCCCTCCATGCTCTGTCACAGCAGTCAGTGCTCGGTGTCAGGGCCACCATAGGAAAGGATTCTCTGAGGTGAACCTGCTTTCTCTGGCACCTTAAAAAAA